TTGACGAGGCGGAATGCCACAGGAAGAAACTTCAGCATGGCTGAACCATACACCATGTTGGAAAGCGTCATCACTTCGAAAGAGAGGCCAGCGTCCCATATCTGGGCCACCTCGTTTGACTCCGAGACGCATGCACTTGCCTCCCTTTGGCGAGGCTAACGCCATTAGAAGAAGCTTTAGCATGGCTGAACCATCCACCATGATGGGAAGCGTCCTCAATTCGGAGGAGAGGCCAGCGTCCCATCTCTGGGCCACCTCGTTTGACTTCGAGGCGCATGCACTTATTAGTCATGGCTCACGAGACAGCAATATTCCCAGTTTGGCTGAAACACGGTCCAGTCAAGATCCATTTAGGTTACACTTATCAAGTTTAAGTACAATTCATTTGCTTAAGTCCAATATTGGTCATGGCTCACGAGGCTTGCGTACAATTTACTTGCTCAAGTGATTGGAGTTAGGATACTAAGTTAAAGTTATTTAGTTCTTCAATCAACATTAAGTTCAATTGCTTGACGAGGCCAATGCACTTAGGAGAAAAATAACATTGAACGAAAGAAGATATTATATTAATTTTCAATCAAGATTACAAAAGGAGGGCCTGAGGCCAGTACATCAGAAATAACTGAAAAGAAAACTATTCCAAGCCTAGGACGACGATGGAGGTGCCTCAGCAGCCGGGGCCTCCGCAACTTGAGCATCATAACCTCTTTCTTTTGCCTCTACTACTTCATTTCCAACCGCTTCATCAGCTGGGGTTTGAGGCACTTCATCCACAAACTCCGAACTCAGTTGTGACAGGTCTTGATTTGGGTAGAGTTTCCCAGCCCTCTCCACCATCTCGGCATAAGCATAATTTCTCTAGTAGGTGCTGAAGCTCTTGTACTCCTCGGTATTGTTGAAGTTGGCAATGTAGTCTTTTACTGCCTCCTCCCACGCCACATTGGCCTCCTCCATTGCCTTGGCTGTATCATCAATGTACCACTTTATCTGGCCCTCCAAGAACTTGTACGCATCTTGGGCCCCAGCTAGCTCCAAGTTTGCCTTCTCCAAGGCTTCGGCAGTTACCTTCTGGTGGTCATTGGAAACCTCCACTTTCTTAGTCAAGGAGGCCACCTCACACTGGGACTCATATACCTCCTTCAACGCCTCTATCTGAGCCAATATAGACTTCAGGTTGGCCGAATCTTTAAGTTTTTGGGCCCTCGCTCCCTCTGCCTCGACTCTAGCTCCCTTCAACTCCTCTATAAGGGAGGCTATATTCTTCTCTGAGGACTAGGTCCTCATTTGAAAGTCAGTAAGAGCCTCTTTACGCTCCAGTACGAGGCCAAAGGTCCTCACACTTTGGCTCATGAGGGCCATGTTAGGTCCGTGGCATCACATGAGGAGGCACGCAACTGCCACCGATTCGTCTAGAATTTGTAGTAGCTTTCTATAGCACTTTAGATCTCCGGTGGCAGAGCCTCCACCAAAGATGGAGCCAGAACCTCCTACTTGTCGGTAAGGAAGCTCGGAGACTTCCCTTGCACCTCGTCGGCCTCTGCTTGGCGGCCTCGTCCCCTGCTGCCTCAGCTGCCCTCCTCGCAGCCTCTTCCTTAGCCTCCTCAGACTCGGCTCGTCGAACCATTTCAATCTTTATCGCTTTCAAGGCGACTACAAGAAGTTTCGGCTGAGGGACTTCTTTGCCTTCATGGGACACGAAGGTCCCAAACTTTCCTGACGAGCTGGGGATGTACACCAGCTTCCTCTTCTTCTGCTCCTTGGGGGCCTTCTCTTTTCCCCGAGGCTCTTTGGCCTTCTCTGACCTCTGAGGAGTCCCCTCCTCAGGAACCCTCGAACTGTTGTCCTTGGAGAGGCGCTCAACCCTATCCCGCACCTCTTTCGCGCCAGTCGACCCCGGCTTCAGGGGCCTCACCTTCACAGTGGATGTGACCCTAAGTATAGAGGCCATGTCAGGGGTTGGGTATTCCCTCCTCTTGAACTTGTCTGCAGAACATATTAATGCATCAGTATCAAAACAGAAAGCATGAAATACACAAGCATAGGAGCTTCTTACCCTTGGAGGCCATCAGTTCAAAATCAAAGAAGTAGCGACTTCGATCGATGAGGTGGTCGAAGTGACGAAGCCTCAGAGGTCTTTTGTAAATGTCCTCTATCACCTCAAACTCCTCCTTGCTCAACTCAAACCTTTTACTGCTATCTGCAAAGGAAGCCTCAACAGTTAGAAAAAGAAATTTGAATACAGAATGCAAACTACTTAGGCTGGGAGACTCACAAGCTTCGTAGTACTGGGTTGGTACTGTGCAAGTTAGGGCTGTGTCTCCTTCCACCGCCTGCCACCTACCCCTCACCCAAAACCACGACTCCTTCCACCCCTTAATGGAAGAAGGCAGCCCCACCACAAATGGTGCATGAGCCTCCCAAGGAGTTAAGTAATACCACCCCTTTGACTCCTTACCTATTACCCTAGGCTGGAATAGGGTCATGAAGACGTGGAGAGGCATGTCCTCCCCGAGTGACACTTCCTTCCATAGGAAGTACGAGCCGACCAATTGGCTCCACCCATTTGGCAGAACCTGGGTCGGTGACAACATGAAGTTCCTCAGCACCACCCTCAAGAAGGGGTGTAGAAGAAGACACATACATGCCTTAAATTGGTACTTGCTCACCACCATGCATCCGGACCTCGGATAGCAGGCTCGCTCATGGGCCTCGGGTACTAACATCTCTACATAATGAGGTACACAGTATCTCTCCCAAATCTCCCCCAACCTCTTCCCTGTCATATTCGAAGTGACTCTGGACGCCCCCACTCTACACTGTAGTCTACTGCCTCCTCGATCATAGCATACTGCTCAACCTTGGAGTCCCCCCTGTAACTAGCCCCCTAACTGAATGACGCTACAGTGACCAACCCCCTACCCGCGGTAGACTCCATTTCTAGAAATGACTAAGAACGCAATACAAGGGATTTTCTGTGAAAATACCTACAAGAATAACTACGCCGACGGAATGGTGCCGGAAAACCAAGGAACAAAGAGCTTCAACGCCGGAAAACTTAAGCTTTGGAAGAAAAGTCAGATTGCAAAGGTAGAAAATCCAAAAAAAATGGGGGTCTCTCGCCTTTTATAAAGGACCAAGACGAACCCCAACCGTCTGATCAAAGCCCATCCAATCTGAACCCTTCATTCTAAATCAAATTCGAGGCGTAGAATTCAAACAATTTTTCAAACCTACGCCTCAGATTTAAGCATGTCTCCCACACACCTCCCCCAACGCGTCTGCTTCTAGAAGCTTCAGCTGTTCTCATGACTACGACTTTAATTCAACGGCAGCAGGCATCTTGAAAGTTGCAACGGTTCAACCACCTTTCCTCGAAAATATACGCAAAATATCAAATCATTGGTACCACTATCGAGGACCACTTATTGTCAATGTGCCTCAGACTTCAGCTATCAAGCCTCGCACGTTCGGTGTTTCCAATCACCTGGGCTTCCTCTTCATCATTCAGCCATCAAGCCTCGTAGGTTCGGTTTCCCAACCACCTTGACTTTATCTTCATCACTCAGCCATCAAGCCTCTCAGGTTCGATTTCCTAACCACCTCGGCTTCCTCTTCATCATTCAGCCATCAAGTCTCGCAGGTTTGGTTCCACCAACCACCTCAGCTCCCTCTTCATCATTCAGCTATCAAGCCTCGCAGGTTCAGTTTCTCAACCCACCTCGGCTTCATCATATTTCAACCATAGCAAGCCTCGCAGGTTCGATTTCTCAACTACCTCGCCTTCATCATTCTCATCACTCCTCGACAACAACACATCTCTAACTCCAACCATGATATAAATATCTATACTTGGACTTGGATGATTATTATTTGGGGTACAAAAAATTTCAAAAATTTCTTTCAACTTAACTGGCTGACTTTACTTCATCAAAGTCGTCGCTTTACATAAATGACTATACTTGGACTTGGGGGACTATTGTTACGTGTTTGTACATTTGGGCAACCCACCGGGGCCTACATCCAACTCATGCCAAACCACGTGGCACTCGAGCCGAGGTGATTTACATAGTCGAGGCCTACAAATCGAGGTCCAAAAAAGCCTAGGCCCATGTATACCGAGGCCTATCTATCATTGCCTCTTGAGGAGCTTCCGATGCCCGTATGCCGAGGCCCTTTGAAGGTGGACGAGGCCCTGTTGGCTGAAACTCTGTAGCCGAGGTAGCAGCCTCCGAATCACAAAACAACATCTTCCATAGACACTTCTCCCAAGAGATCCTCTGCACAAAGATCTTACTAGAATGATTGATAGGATGTTTGTCATGAGTGTAAATGTTAAGTCTTTTCACTAGTAGATACGACTCTACCAATCAATAAATGTATAGCAGGCTAGGTGCGGCTGATGCCTACCATTTGACATGTAAATTAACCGAATGAGACCACGTGTACCCCGAACCAAAGGTCACGATCTAACTTGTGACACTATAAATACTCCCCTCATGTACCCCATACAAAGGCTAGTGCAAGAATCAATACAAGAAGTCATACTTTACTCAACTCTCTCTTTCTTATTATCTTGCGAAACAAACGAGTTCATACATATTTAGATACACATTCACAAACACCGATTGGTAATTATTGTACAATCGATTGACGATCATCCAGTCAGATTTCGAACGTTCTCGTCCTGCACCGTTGAGCTACTCCCACGCCCTTGATCTTTCCATTTAGATTGTCCATGTGTCTTAGCGTGTTGGACTTTCGCTCACGTGTGTGCAGGTAGGTCCGGCATCTGTTGGTAACATTTTTTGAGGTCAACATCCTCCATTTTGTAACAAGTCAAAAAGTGTGTAAAGTCTTGAAATTGAGAAATACAAGTTTCTTTTTGTTCACTTCCTTCTTCCTATTAGTGTTGTCCTCCTTAAAAGTCTTAGCCAATCTAAGTTAGTAAACCCTCCCCTCTTCCAACGAACTGGTATTAGAGCCCTAAGGTTCTTGTGAAAATGGCAAGTGGGATGATTCCTTTTCTAGTTCTTCAACTCAACAAGGATAACTACGGCAATTGGAGCATAAGAATGAAAGCGTTGCTTGGGTTGCAAGATGCATGGGAGATCGTAGAGAAAGGCTACACGGAGCCACAAGATAAGGTCGCTCTATCTCAAGCACAAAGGGATACTTTGAAGGATGCAAGGAAGAAGGATATGAAGGTGTTCACCTTCATCTATCAAGCCTTAGATGAAAGCATGTTCGAGAAAGTAGCTTGTGCTACTGCAAGTAAGGAAGCATGGGAGATCTTGCAAAACTCCCACAAAGGAGTTGAGAAGGTAAAAAAAGGTTTGACTCCAAACACTTCGAGGTGAGTTTGAAGCTTTACATATGAAGAAATTGGAATCAATTTTTGATTACTTCTCTAGAGTATTAGTTATTGTGAATCAATTAAAGAGGAATGGAGAAAAGTTGAATGTCACTCGAGTAATTGAGAAGATACTTAGGTCTTTAGCTTCTAAATTTGACTATATAGCTGTAGCCATTGAGGAATCTAAAGATCTAGATAGTATGAGTGTCGATCAACTCATGGGATCTTTACAAGCCCATGAGGAAAGACTAAAGAAGAAGGTGAAAGAAGAGCCATTAGAGCAAGCTCTTCAAACAAAGCTCACTTTGAACGAGGGTGAAGGAAGGTTCGATAGTAGAAGCCAAAGAGGAAGAGGACGAGGCCAAGATCAAGGAAGAACTGCATTCTATAAGGAGAAAAGAAGACAAAGCTCATTCTTCACCTGAGGTCATAGAAGGGGAAAAGGTACGAGGCAAAATGAAGGGCCAAGGTATGACAAATCTCAAATTAAATGTTACAATTGTCAAAACTTAGTCATTATGCTTCAGAATGTAGAAATATTACTAACCAAGTTAAGGAGAAAGCCAACTACGCTTGTTGGGAAAGTGAAGAAGATCATGTGCTACTGTTGGCTTACAAAGGTGAAGAGAGTAGAGAAAAAAATATTTGGTATTTGGATACAGGAGCAAGCAACTATACATGTGGAAGAAAGAACATGTTTGTGGAGTTTGATGAATCAGTAAGTGGAAACATTACCTTTGGAAATGAATCCAAGATCCCGGTGAAAGGAAAATGTAAAATCTTGATCTGCTTGAAAAATGGTACGCGTCAATTTATCTCAAATGTCTATTATGTGCCAATATGAAGAATAACGTTTTAAGTTTGGGACAACTTTTAGAGAAGGGCTATGATATTCATTTGGAAGATCATAGTCTTTCAATAAGAGATCAAAGGAAAAATTTGATTTCCAAAGTCCCTATGACACGAAATAGAATGTTTGCGTTAAGCATTCAAAATGATGTTGTCAAATGCTTAAAAGCTTGTTTTAAAGATTTATCTTGACTTTGGCACTTGAGATTTGGGCATCTTAATTTTGAAGGCTTAAAGTTGTTGAGTAAGAAGAAAATGGTGAAAGGTTTGCCTCCAATAAATCATGCGGATCAATTATGTAAAGGATGTTTACTAGGAAAGCATTTGAGGAAAAGTTTTCCAAAAGAAGCATTTACAAGAGTTAAGAAGCCACTAGAACTTGTACACTCGGATGTTTGTGGGCCAATCAATCTAAGCTCTCTCCGTAAGAGCAATTATTTTGTTCTTTTTATTGATTATTTTAGTAGAAAGACTTGGGTTTATTTTCTTAAACAAAAACAGGAAGTTTTTGAAACTTTCAAAAAGTTTAAAGTACTTGTTGAAAAAGAAAGTGGCTATAGCATAAAAGTCATTAGATCAGATAGAGGAGGAGAATTCACCTCTAAAGAGTTTGAGAAATATTGTGAGGAGAATGGAATACGTCGTCCATTGACAGTTCTATATTCTCCACAACAAAATGGAGTAGCCGAAAGAAAGAATAGATCCATTCTTAACATGGCCCGCTGTATGCTTTAAAGTAAAAGATTGCCCAAAGAACTTTGGGCCGAAGCTGTTAATTGCTTCGTGTATCTGTCTAATCGATCACCTTCCAGAAGTATATGGAATAAGACATCACAAGAAGTATGGAGTGGAAGAAAGCCCATCATCTCTCACCTACGAGTATTTGGGAGCATTGCATATGCTCATGTACTAGATCAAAAGTGGTCCTAGTTGGATGATAAAAGCGAAAGGTTTGTTTTTATCGGTTATGACTCTCGCTCTAAAGGCTACAAGCTATATAATCCAAACAAGGAGAAGATCATCATAAGTAGAGATGTCAAGTTTGATGAAGAAGGAGCTTGGGATTAGAATGTCCAAGAAGAAGATTATAACTTCTTACCATTCTTTTAGGAAGAACAAGAGAATGGAGAGCAGCAAGAGCTTATCAGTCCACCTCTATCACCTACTCATGGAGATGCTTCCCCATCATCTTCACAAGGAGAAAGCTCAAGCGAAAGGACACCACGGATAAGGAGCTGACAAGAGCTATATAAGGTAACAAAAAATCAAAATGATCTCACACTCTTTTGTCTTTTTGCCAATTGTGAGCCAACAGGGTATGAAGAAGCAGCGCAAAATAAAAGATGGAGAGATTCCATGGATGAAGAGATTAAGGCTACTAAGAAAAATAACACGTGGGAGCTGACAACTCTTCCTAAAGGAAAGAGAGCAATTGGAGCTAAGTGGGAGTACAAGGCAAGGCAAAGAAGGACGTTAAAGTAGAAGTAAAAAGATACAAAGCAAGATTGATTGCCAAAGGCTACAACCAACGACCTGGAATCGATTATGAAGAGGTATTTGCTCCTGTAACTCGTTTAGAAATCATAAGATTAATTATCTCTCTTGCTGCGCAAAATAAGTGGAAGATATTTCAAATGGACGTGAAATCAGCTTTTCTAAATGGTTATCTTGAAGAAGAAATTTATGTGAAGCAACCAGTGTGATATAAAATAAAAGGACATGAAGGTAAAGTCTTAAAACTAAAAAAAGCTTTATATGGGTTGAAACAGACTCCAAGGACATGGAATAGTAGATTTGATAAGTACTTTCTAATTTTTTTTTTCACAAAATGTCCTCACGAATATGCCCTTTATTCAAAGGTAAATGAGAAATGAGATATTTTGCTTGTTTGTTTGTATGTAGATGATCTTATATTCACAGAAAATAATCAAAGTATGATCACTGAGTTTAAGAAGGCCATGACTCAAGAATTCGAGATGTGGGATACCGGCCTCATGGCCTACTATCTTGGGATTAAGGTAAAGCAAATGGAGGATTGCATCTTTATCTCACAAGCAAAATATGCGAAAGAAATTCTAAAGAAATTCAATATGGTGAATTGCAAGCCTGTATGCACTCCCATCGAATGCAGAACCAAGTTGTCAAAGAATGATGAAGGTGAAAAAGTAAACCCAACACTTTTTAAGAGTCTTGTTGGAAGTCTAAGATACTTGACGTGCACAAGATCATATATCATTTTTGGAGTTGGGCTCATCAGTCGTTATATGGAGACACCTACCATAACACATATGAAAGCTGCAAAGAGAATTCTTCGCTACATCAAAGGTACGCTTTATTATGGCTTAGTCTATTCATCATCTAATGAATTCAAACTTGTTGGATATAGTGACAACGATTGGGACGGAGACAATGATGATAGAAAGAGTATGACTGGATATGTATTTTACTTGGGTGACACAGCTTTCACTTGGAGCTCAAAGAAGCAATCGATCGTAGCACTATCTACATATGAAACTAAATATGTAGCAGCTACATCAAGTGCGTGCCATGCATTTTGGCTTAAAAACTTATTGAAGACGCTTGGAGTATCACAAGAAGAACCAACCAAAATCCATGTTGATAACAAATCGGCATTGGCATTGACAAAGAATCCAGTATTCCATGATAGAAGCAAGCACATTGATACAAGATATTACCTCATAAGAGAAAGTACTGCAAACCAAGAAGTGCAGCTGAAATATGTAACATCCCAGGAGCAGATCGCCGACAGTTTCACTAAGCCACTCAAGCATGATGTGTTCTGCAAGTTAAGAACTCTACTTGAAGTAGCAAAATCAAGTTTAAGGGGGGATGTTGAGTAGTAAACTTGATTTTTGAACTAAATAATATGGGCTTAAAGATTTTGCTTATAGGGCCAAATCAATTAAAAGGCCCAACATGCCTAGCATTTCTAGAAACATTATCTAGAAAAATCTATATAAATATCTACTAGAAAAATATATATAAATATCTAAGTAAGATATGTGGTCTTATAAAGAATATCTAGAGAATTTTAGAAAAATATCTTGTCCAAATGTGTGGTCTAGGTGTCTCTTGAAAATGTGTGGACAAGAAGCTTTATGTAAACACTATATAAAGGGATAATATCCTCCATTTTGTAACGAGCCAAAAAGTGTGTAAAGTCTTGAAATTGAGAAATACAAGTTTCCTTTTGTTCACTTTCTTCTTCCTATTAGTGTTGTCCTCTTTAAATGTTTTAGCCAATCCAAGTTAGTAAACCCTCCCTTCTTCCAACACAATGCACTCTTCAATTTACTGCCCCTTAGTAAACTGGTATTGATTATCTAACACGGTTTTAGAGCCAATGGGACTTAATCGGTTGGTTAGAGTGTTGGTGTTAATCTTGAACAAGAAGTTGGTAGTGATTTATTGGCCTGGCCTCCTGAATAGGCACGTAACTATATTATTATTTGACGTGTATCAAGTTAAATGCTGAAATCGTTATAAAATAAAAATTGGTATTTTGTCATGCACAAGAATCTATGGATTATATTGATTTCATGGAAATTCTATGATTTGATTATAAACAATTGGTTAAAATATTTAAACCACAATAATGTGCTTAATTAATATTTTAAAAGAGGTATTTTATCACAACTAATCTACATAATTTTGTTTACATCCCAAGTGTAACTCAAGAATGAAGTTTTAATATTTCAAAATTGAAACCTTCTTAAAATTTCTGTTTTGATTTTGATTATTGTCCTAAATGTAAAGTTGAAAATCTTAATTATTGAATGTAACTTGGCCGTTAAATGGATTACTTGTGAGTGGTATCATTTCAGCCACCACGTTTAGAGGTTAGGTATGAAAATTGAACGCATGAGAATTATAAGATATTAATATTATTGTAAGTTATATTTGAAATATAAACACATGAGACAGTTGGAAATACACCAAGTTCAATGTCTTAATTTTGGAATTTGACACTTTTCGAGGACAGCAGTTCTTAAGGTGCCCTTTAGATTTTGTTATTTCTGAAATGGTTGAGCTTATGGTGGCAGCAGAGGAACATATAAAATAAAGTTTTCTCCATTATTGTGCACTGTAAAACATAGCAATGAACATGGATCTGATTTAGATATGAACGCATTCTAGAACTATTTATATTTTCCATGCTACAAATTAATAAAGAATAATGAAATTCCAAATAAAACCTAGTAGCAGAAAGCAAAGAAATCCAAGAGAGAGAAGCTTCCTCTTCTACTAATGTCATATATTAAGGTAGATCGTTATGAAGTTAGTGAGTAACTAGGAAAGACGGCAGGGAAACTGGAGAGCCAAGGAGCACTTCTGGGCTAGACTGATACAATACTCTAAGGCACATTGGACTCGAAAATTATATCTCATTATTTGTTGCTAATTACCTATAGTCCAGTGCATTGATGATTAATGTTTGAATAGTCTTGGACAGTCTTAGCTGACTGTAAAGATCAATATTATATTGTGATAGAGGGAGATTGAGATATTGTTGGTTGCTAATTAACTTTAGTGTAGACCAACGTATGTTGTTTCA